TGAAGTCTCATTAGCACATTTCAAGTCTCATTAGCACATTTCAAGTCTCATTAGCACATTTCAAGTCTCATTAGAAAATTTCAAGTCTCATTAGCGCATTTCAAGTCTCATTAGCACATTTCAAGTCTCATTAGCACATGTGAAGTCTCATTAGCACATTTCAAGTCTCATTAGAAAATTTCAAGTCTCATTAGCACATTTCAAGTCTCATTAGAAAATTTCAAGTCTCATTAGCGCATTTGCAGATGAAAAAATAATAACATAAATTTTATTATTTAGATTAATATAAATTAATTAAAAAAAATTTTTGTAAATAAAAAAAATAAATTATATAAAAAAATAATTTTTTTTTATTTTTTATAAAAATTAATTTAGTTCAATTCAATCAAGTTAATTAGAATAATTAGATATGTATTGATACTTATTGATATATATAGATATTTATTGTTGATATTTATTTAATCATCACAGGCAAAACCTTTATTTAAATGCTTATATTTGACTATTATTATAGTATATTTGCTTAAATAATATTATATTTGCTTATATTGACTATTAATATAATAATGTATATTGTATATTATAATAATAGACTATTAATATGTATATTGTATTATACATAGTCTATTAATAGACTATGTATATTGTATGTTATAATAATTAACTATTAATATAATATGTATATTTTATATTACAATTATTGACAATTAAAATAATGTATATTATAATAATTGACTATTAATTTAATAATTTATATAATACTATAAATATATAATAATTTATATTTATTTATATTATTATTATTATTATATCTCAGAGATTTATTATTTATTTATTATTTATTTATTGATTTACTGAGGCATGATAAAGAAGCCTTTATCACAAACAGGAAAGTGACCATATATGGTAAAAAGTGACCATATAAAGGTTTAAATATTAAAAGTAACTATATATTCCAAGTGACCATATATGGTAAAAAAGTTACCTACCATATAAAGGTTTAAATATAAAAGGTAACCATATATGATAAAAAGTGACCATATATTTAGAGTGACCATATATGGTAAAAAAGTGACCATATATATAGAGATTTAAATATTTCAAGTGACCGTATATGGTAAGAAGTTACCATATCGAAGTTTAAATAAAAAAGTGACCATATATGGTAAATAAGTGTCCGTATAAAGGTTTAAATATAAAAAGTGACCATATATGGTAAAAAAATGACCATATAAAGGTTTAAATATAAAATGTGACCATATATGGTAAAAAGTGACCATATAAAGGTTTAAATATTAAAAGTGACCATATATGGTAAAAAAAGTGACCCTATAAAGGTTTAAATATTAAAAGTGACCATATATTTCAAGTGACCATATATGGTAATTTGCCCATGAAAAGAGTTAAAAAATATTTTAATTTATTTATTTAAGAAGTGAAGGTTCGTTGGGGAAGAATGGGGGGTAAGCGGGGGTGGGGGATGATGGAAAAGGGTTTTAATGGGTTAAGGGGTGAGGGGTTAAGGGGGTGAGGGGTTTAGGGGGATTAAGTTCACCCCCACGGTCGGTGTTGCCAAATACCTCGGCTTTAAATACCCCACAGAACTGAGGGAAATACGCCAGAAATTAGCGATACACCGCGAGAAATAAGCGTGTCTAGTTGTCCAAATGGCGATACATCAGCGATACACCGCGAGAAATAAGCGTGTCTTGTTGTCCAAATGGCGATACATCAGCGATACACTGCGAGAAATAAGCGTGTCTTGTTGTCCAAATGGCGATACATCAGCGATGCGAGAAATAAGCGTGTCTTGTTGTCCAAATGGCGATACATCAGCGATACATCAGCGATACACTGCGAGAAATAAGCGCGTCTTGTTGTCCAAATGGCGATACATCAGCGATACATCGCGAGAAATAAGCGTGTCTTGTTGTCCATATGGCGATACATCAGCGATACATCGCGAGAAATAAGCGTGTCTTGTTGTCCAAATGGTGATACATCAGCGATACACTGCGAGAAATAAGCGTGTCTTGTTGTCCAAATGGCGATACATCAGCGATACACTGCGGGGATAAGCGGGTCAGGCTGACCCACATAATGTATCGTTATTTAGACAAAGTCTTTCTGATTTTTATGAGTGTACCGTCCTATAACTACACTTTAATTGAATAAATTTTAGAAATATTTATATTTATAACTGTTAAAACCTTCGTAAGGTTTTAACTTTTTAACTTTTTTAACTTTCGTTTAACTGGACTTTCCCAAACTTAGTTTGGAAAAGTCAAGATGGAAGAGAAAGTTGCGCTGGGAAGAGAAAGTTGCGCTGGGAAGCGAAAGTAGCGCTGGGAAGAGAAAGTTGCGCTGGGAAGAGAGAAAGTTGCGCTGGGAAGAGAAAGTTGCGCTGGGAAAAGAAAGTTTGCGCTGGGAAGAGAAAGTTGCGCTGGGAAGCGAAAGTAGCGCTGGGAAGAGAAAGTTGCGCTGGGAAGAGAAAGTTGCGCTGGGAAAAGAAAGTTTCACTGGCAAGAGAAAGTTGGGCTGGGAAGAGAAAGTTTCACTGGGAAGAGAAAGTTGGGCTGGGAAGAAAAAGTTGGGCTGGGAAGAAAAAGTTGGGCTGGGAAGAGAAAGTTGCGCTGGGAAGAGAAAGTTACGTTGGGAAGAGAAAGTTACGTTGGGAAGAGAAAGTTGCGCTGGGAAGAGAAAGTTGGGCAAGGAAAAGAAAGTTTCGCTGGGAAGAGAAAGTTGCGCTGGGAAGAGAAAGTTTCGCTGGGAAGAGAAAGTTTCACTGGGAGGAGAAAGTTTCACTGGCAAGAGAAAGTTGCACTGGCAAGAGAAAGTTTCACTGGCAAGAGAAAGTTTCACTGGCAAGAGAAAGTTTCACTGGCAAGAGAAAGTTTCACTGGGAGGAGAAAGTTTCTGGCAAGAGAAAGTTTCACTGGCAAGAGAAAGTTTCACTGGCAAGAGAAGGTTCTGGGAAAGAAAGCATCCCAGGAATGTCATCAGTTGACGGCTTGACACCTCATCTGCCTTGACAAGTGCCACTTGACAGCTTGACACGTGACTAAGTGTGTCAATTTTCACTTGACACCTCAATAAGTGTGTCATTTGACACATCAATAAGCTTGTCACTTGACAACTTGACAGCTGAAATAATGGATCTGTTGCCTGAGGACTTGTCAGAAATCAATTTTTGACAAGGATTTGTCAGAATAATAATGTATAATATTAATTATAATTATATAATAATGCTTATATAATTATAATTAATAATAAATATATAATTTATAATTAATATATATTTATTTAATATTTATATATTAAATAAATTTAAATTTAATATTTATTTAATATATAATAT